AAGGCCAAAAAGGGGAGAGCTCAGAGCCCCTTCCAGTGCCTAAAGGGGGGTTATAGAAAAGGTGGGGATAGAGTTTTTAGCAGGGCCTGTTGCGATAGGACAGGGGGTGATGGCTTTAAACTAAAAGAGGGGAGATTTAGAAGAATTTTTTTATGCTGAGGGCGGTGAGACACTGGCCCAGGTCGCCCAGAGAGTGGTAGATGCCCCATCCCTGGAAACATTCCAGGTCAGGTTGGACGGGGCTCTGAGTACCCATATCTGCTCATGGAAGGGGGGGTTGGACTAGATGACCTTTGAAAGTCCCTTCCCACCTGAACCATTCTATGATTTTATGATTTTGGCCAGTGCTGGCATCCTCCCAGCCCGTACCAGTCTGCGAGTGGTCCCTGCTGCTGGAGGGGAAGATGAGGCAGCGGTGGTTGGAGACCTCGTAAGGACCAACGGACTGAGCAGTAGAAAGGAGTGGGGAAAGCGCCTGTTCCAGATCAGGGTTAGTGCCATTGGCAGATTTCTGGCCAGAAACAGGGATCTTCAGCCTCTGGGCCAAATGCATCTTCATGGAAGGCCGCTGCCGGCTTCGTTGGTGGGGGAATTCCCATGTCACCTCTGCATGGGAGGGCGCCGTTTGAAGGAAGGGGGGGAGCTCCTCAGAGTTCAGCTTGCAAACACGGGCTGCAGCTGGCTGCCCTGGCTCCATCGCTGCCTGCTCCTGCGCCGCTCTCCTGCGCCTCCCGTCCTTCCCAGGCATGTCTTCCCCGCCTGTCAGTCTCTCCTGCCTTTCCCAAGCTCCGCTGTGGCTGAGAGAGGGGTGGGGATGGTGAGATGGGTGTTGTTGGTGGGGAGCTGGATCCAACTGTGTGTTTCCTCTATGCCAAAAAAAACCCACCCCTCCCTGGGGCAGCCGCTCTTCACTCGTGCGGGTCGCTCGGTCCCGGTCTTCCAAAACCACAGGTCACTGCTCTCTCCGATACGCTGCTCAGCCTTCATCAGCCTTCCACGAGTTCTCCTACACGTGGCAAAGCTGCTTCAATGTTCCCATTACCCTCTGCTGACACACCGCTGGGGGCTGCAGCGGAGCTGTGTGCCACGTCCCGGATCTCAGCAGCTCTCGCCATGCCCCGTAACAGCACTATTATCCTTTACCGCGCGCGCTGGGCTTTGCAGGATTTTGCTGTGGTCCGCGACCGAAATGTGACCCTTGCCAGATTTCCCAATGCTCTGCCAGTTTTTCCTGCCCTTTACAGAATTGTTATCCTCCGTCTCGCTGGGTTTTGCTGTGCATAACGCCAACCTCGCGTTACACAGCCCCGGCTTTCTGCTGGCCGCGGCAGCGATGCTCCTGCCCACCCGGAGGACGGGTTGCTGCAGGCAGGGCTGCATTCAGCCTTGGGGCCTCCGGCCTTTCTCGTCAGCCCTTTGCTGGGGGGAGGATTGGGTTTATCTTCTCCGGTCCCCCCGGTTCCTCTCTCCCTTTTGTTTGCTCCCTCCATCCCTCACTCCCGTTGGCGCCTTCATCCCGTTTCCCACAGAGAAGACAACACGTTTGGCTTTGGGTCCTGCCTCTGCTTCCCCGCAGCCCCTGCTCCCACGCTGCCCTCGCCACCTAACGAAAGAGCTGGGGGAGGGCTAATTAGCTCGAGGGATAATAATGACCCTCTTATCGATACTCTTCAGCCCTCCTGCCCTCCATTTCCCTGCAGCGCGTGATGCATCCAGCCCTCGCTGGCTGTGAGAAGCGCTGATGTCTCCTCCAAGAAAACCGCCGCGGTGTGGAAGGGGGAGTGGGACCGTGTTCTTACGGCGGCGCACAGGAACAGCAGCAGCGAGGGCTTTGCTCGGGAGAGACAGCCCTGCTGGGCAATCCAGGGGTGGAAAAGGGCCTTCCAGACACACACGACCACTGGTCCGGGCAGCGGGGATGGTTCTGCAGCATCTGCACCATAACTCCTGTGAGAAGACAGGGACAGGAGCTTGGGGATGCTCCGGAAACCTGGGGGTGGCGGGAGAGGCTGGATGTTGTGCTCTCGCGTGCGTGGGGGGGGACGGGAGCACCGAGGGTCTGGCACGGGGAGGAAGAGGAGGTGAAGGTTCAGGAGGAGAAGGAGGAGGAGGTTCAGTCTCAGCCAGCAGGTTGGGCTCTGACCCTCTGCACCGGTTGGCGCCGATGCAGAGGCAGCTGGGGATGACCCCATGGGATGGAGGTGTCCGGAGCAGCAATAGAACAGGACTGAGGAGTCCCACAGCCCTGCAAGCGCAGACCAGGCTGTGACTGCCACCACGCAGCACTGGGTGACCCTCAAGGCCTGAACGGCTGCACGGGAAGAGCTGTGAGCTCCATCACCACCGTCCCCTCCGCAGCTCCGGCGCTCAGCCCTGCCCACAGCACTGGCACCAGCCCTGTCCTTCGCCACCCACCACAGGTCGAGCCCCACGTGCCAACGCCACAACGGCCCAACCAACACCGCGGGTGGTGGCAGCGCTGCCCCGTGGCGTTGCGGCACGTCCCGCCTGGCCGTGGTGGCATCCCCGCGCGTGGGGCTGCGAGACGGGATGGGCTCCCTCCCTCGCGGCTCTCTCCGAAGCCCGGTGAGCCCCAGCGTGTCCTGGGTGCCGCCGAGCAGCGCAGGTCTCTCCAGGACAGGACTGCATTGCAGGGAAGGGCTGTCCTTCGCCGGGTTAGCGCGGCTGCTCTCTGGCTGCTGGCTCTGAAGAGCTTTTCGGGTGCTGGAGCTGTGGTCCAGCAGCTCTGAGCGCAGAGCTCTATCTGCAGCTGCACCGATGGGGCAAGAAGAGGTTTTTCGGAGGGATAAAGCTGCAAAAGCCTGCGAGGGGCGAGTCCTTATGTGTGCCCTCAGCTCAGGGGTGCCAGGGCAGCGCAGAACCCCCCCCGGTAATAAGGAGTAGAGGGAAAAATTGTTTGTGCCCTGAGCTGGGGAGACGGTGTGTGCTCGCTGCCTACAGAGGGATGGAGGGGGCTGTTCGTGGCTCTGCATCCATCGCGCCCCGCTCGGGCGCTGCCAGCTGCTTGCTGCGGCGGGGGCTATTTTTCCGTCGAGTGTACATGTCACCAGGGGAAGCTATTTTTGATAAAACAAACAAATCTTTCCAGCTTTTCTAAAAATAGCCATTGCCCTTTTTTTCTCCCCCTCCCTTCCCGGCTCAGGCTGCCTTAGAGACAGAAATCCGCCTCGAGCCATCCAGTTATTAATACCAGTAAACAAACCCTTATCTCCGGTGCCTTGTTCTAGCGGGAACATGTGGGGGCAACCTAAACCATTCTGTGATTCTGATTCCTGCCTGCTTTCATGTGATGCTGTGCAAATGTTTGGGATTTTTGTTGGGTTGGGTGTTTTTCCCATTTTTAATGCTGTAGGAATTAAGCAGGAATATCGGTGCTCTCGGGGTTTGTGCGGGTGTGATGGAGCAGCTTTGCCTAAGCTGTCAGAGACAGAACAGCAGAGGGGTCAAGGTATTTTGAGGGGAAGTTCTGCAGAGCCCAGGAGGCTGTCTGCCAGCAAGACGCTGGCTGCGCAGGTGTCTCCAGAGCCTCCGAGAGCTGTTGGACACTGTTGTACGTTGATGAGAGCCCAGCCAGATTTGCTGTGTGACAATGTGTCTTCTGCTGGTGGGAACTGAAGATCAGAGCTGCTTTTCTCCAGAGAGGCGTGATACTTACAAGCAGCAAAGCAGCAAGGGGGATCCAGTGCCTGCTGAGCTCAGAAACAAATCCTGCTGGATTTTGGCCAGTTTAGGGACTGACCGGGCTGCCAGGAGCCCACGTCCCCATGTCCCCGCATCCCTGCTGCCTGCCTCCCCGCGGTCCCCGCGCTGCCTCTCCTGCCGGCAGACGCAGCCAAGGTGGATGGTTTGGGTTTGACCGGGGGTTATCACTTGCGCTGCTGCCACCCCCGCCGGCTTCAGCATCTCACGGGCTGCAGAGAGGGATGTGATTGCCCTTCCAGGTGCCGAGGGCGCTGCCTTCACCTCCCGCCCCTCAGCATCCCCATCCCCGCCTGCGTACGGTCCCCGCGGTACGGGGATCGGGGGGCTCATGGCACAAGGAGGGGGGCAGCTTCTTCCCCAGCGCAGCGCGTGGCAGAGGTTAAAAATTCAGGTTTAAAGGGAGAGCAGGATTTGCGGAAGCTTTCTGCGCAAGGAGAGACCCCCACCAGGCCCTGGGCGATGGATGGAGTATTTCTCAGCAAGGAGTAAAAAGAAAAATACCTTTTATTACAGATAAAAGCCTCACGTTTCTAGAGAGCAGAAGGCAGCCCCACAGCGGGACAGGCACGCGGGTGGGTACAAAGCGCTTGGTGCCAGGAACACGGAGTTGCGCCGCATCCTCTTCCTCCTCCTCCTCTTCCTCCTCCTCCTCCTTCTCTGTTTCCCAGGAGGGAGCCGGAGATCAGTAGCAGTGCGCGATGGTCTCCATGTTGAGGAAGCGGACGTGCATCTTGGTTTCGCGAGGCCCTGCCACATCTGCAGGCGGTGGGAAGGCGGTGAGCGGGGCCGGGTTGGGGGCTCAGCTTGGTGCCCACCCCAAAACGTCCGGGTCCCTGCGACCGCCTGCAGATGAGCGGAAATGCCACCAACCTTAAGGAAGTCTTCGAAGGTGATGCCCTCATACACCTGGTCCGGCCCCTGGGCGCAGCGAGAGAGACAACATTACGGCTACCCCATGCCAATGGGGCAGGAGCCTCGGGGCACTGGGTTGCCATGGGGTGGAGACCTTTGGGCTATGGGACATGTCTCCCACAGGCGCACCATGCCCCATAGCCAGCCCAAAATTGGTTCCCAGCACTACCATGGCTGCAAGGAGCTGCCTTTTTTAGGAGCACTAAAGCCCCAAGCACCGAGGATGGTGCTTCATGGGGTGCTGTTTGCTTATAGAATCATAGAATGGTTTAGGTTGGAAAGGACCTTGAAGATCATCGAGTTCCAACCCCCCTGCCCTGGGCACGGACACCTCCCACTAGACCAGGTTGCCCAAGGCCACCTCCAGCCTGGCCTTGAACACCTCCAGGGATGGGGCCTCAACAACCTCTCTGGGCAACCTGTGCCAGTGCCTCACCGCCCTTACAGTGAAAAACTTCTTCCTAATATCTCATGTAAATCTATCTCCTTCCAGTTT